AGGAACAAGACAAGGCTGTCCACTCTCTCCATATCTCTTCAATATTGTACTTGAAGTTCTAGCTACAGCAATAAGACAACAAAAGGAGATAAAGGGGATACAAATAGGTAAAGAAGAAGTCAAACTTTCATTATTTGCAGATGATATGATAGTTTACATAAGTGATCCAAAAAACTCCGCAAGGTCACTCCTAGAGCTGATAAACACCTTCAGCAATGTGGCAGGATACAAGGTAAACTCAAAAAAATCAGTGGCCCTAGTATATACAGATGATGAAGTGACTGAGAAAGAAATCAGAGAAACATCACCTTTTACAATAGCCAAAAACAGCATCAAATATCTGGGGATAATGTTAACCAAGGAAGTGAAAGACCTGTATATCAAGAAATTTGTGTCTTTGAAGAAAGAAATCAAAGAAGATACCAGAAAATGGAAAGGTCTCCCATGCTCTTGGATTGGTAGGATCAACATAATAAAAATGACAATCTTGCCAAAAGCAGTCTATAGATTCAATGCAATCCCTATCAAAATTCCATCACAATTCTTTAAGGACCTGGAAAGAACATTAATCAACTTTATATGGAAAAACAAAAGGCCCAGGATAGCCAAAACATCCCTATACAATAAAGGAACTTCAGGAGGCATCACCATACCTGACTTCAAGCTCTATTATAGAGCTATAGTCCTGAAAACAGCTTGGTATTGGCACAAAAATAGGCAGGTAGACCAATGGAACCGAATCGAAAGCCCTAATTTTAACCCACACACCTATGAACACCTGATTTTTGACAAAGAAGCTAAAACTGTACAGTGGAAAAAAGAAAGCATCTTCAACAAATGGTGCTGGCATAACTGGGTACTGGTATGCAGAAGACTGCAGATAGATCCATGTTTATCGCCTTGTACAAAACTTAAGTCCAAATGGATCAAAGATCTCAACATAAATCCAGCCACACTGAAACTTTTAGAAGAGAAAGTGGGAGATACTCTTCAACGAGTTGGTACAGGAGACCAGTTCCTAAACATAACACCAGTGGCACAGGCACTGAGATCGACAATTAACAAATGGGACCTTCTGAAACTAAAAAGCTTCTGTAAGGCAAAGGACACAGTCAGAAAGACAAAAAGGCAGGCCACAGAATGGGAAAAGATATTCACTAACCCTACATCTGACAGAGGGCTAATCTCCAAAATTTACAAAGAACTCAAGAAACAAGTCTCCAAAACACCAAAGGATCCACTTGAAAGGTGGGGTACAGAGCTAAATAGAGAATTCTCAGTAGAGGAGGCTAAAATGGCCAAGAGACACTTAAGAAAGTGCTCAACATCCTTAGCCATCAGGGAAATACAAATCAAAACAACTCTGAGATACCATCTTACTCCTGTCAGAATGGCTAGAATCAAAAACACCGAAGACAATTTATGCTGGAGAGGATGTGGAGAGAGAGGAACACTCCTCCACTGCTGGTGGGAATGCCGACTCATACAGCCTCTTTGGAAATCAGTATGGAGATTCCTCAGGAAAATGGGAATTAATCTACCACTAGACCCAGCAATTCCACTCTTAGGCATTTATCCAAATGAGGCAGGTTCATACAACAAGGGCATCTGCTCCACTATGTTCATAGCAGCATTGTTTGTAATAGCCAGAACCTGGAAGCAACCTAGATGCCCCTCAACTGAAGAGTGGATAGAGAAAATGTGGTACATTTACACAATGGAGTATTACTCAGCAGAAAGAAACAATGGAATCTTGAAATTCGCAGGAAATGGATAGCACTGGAAGAAACCATCCTGAGTGAGGTAACCCAGTCGCAAAAAGACAAACATGGTATGTACTCACTCATATATGGATTCTAGATATGGATCAGGATAGTGCCAGTCTGCACTTCCACAGATAGAGAGTCTGGGAAACAGGAAAGAACCTAAAAGATATGCATATATGCATAGTACCCAAGAGAAGAGGATGGAGACAAGATCCTCTGATGGTGAGAACACGGCGAGGGGTGGGGGGAGTGGGACCTGGGAAGAATAGAGGGGTAAAGAGGAAGGGAGTTGGTCATGGGGGAACAGGAAGTTGAGGGGGTGGGGGTAGAATAGGGGGAAGAGGGAATCATAGGATCGAAGACAGATCAGGCACCAGAGTGACCTCGAGTGATCTAAAGGTATAACATCAATTGGCAAGCTAAGCAATAGTGGAGGGACCACCTCGAATGCCCATTCCTGATAATGAACTTGATGTCTATAACCATCCGGGAGCCTTCATCCTGTGACTGATGGAAGCAGAGGCAAACACACAACTAAGCACTGAACTGAACCCAAGGAACCCAGTGACAGAGAGAGAGGAGTGATGAGCAAATTGGCAAAGAATGGGCTGGCAAAACCAGCAGAGACAGCTGATCTGAACAGGGGAGTGCTCTTGGACCCCAGACCGACAGTGGGGAGGCCAGCATGGGACTGATCTGGACCCCCCAAATGTGAGTGTCAGCGAGAAGGCCTGGGCAACCTATGGGGCCCTGAGCTGTGGATCAGTGTCTATCCCTGGTATACAAACTGTCTTCATGTGCCTATAGCACAAAGAGAGATACTCTCTCAGCCTGGACTCTTAGGGGAGTGCCTTGACCCTACCAAGAGTAAAATGACAGACTCTAGATATCCCCTATGTGGAAGGATTTGGCAATAGGGTGGGAGGGAGGGGGAAGGGGAGTGCGGGAGGAGGGGAGGGAGAGGGAACTGGGATTGACATGTAAAACAAGCTATTTAAAATTAAAATAAAAATGATAAAAAAAGAAAAATAAAGAGAAATAAAAATATTGAGCTTGTGGCTATGATAATAATAGTCAGTGTTTACCAGAGCTAGATTAATACAAAGAAAAAAAAAAGATTTGTATATGTTTGTGCGTGCCTATGTAATATGGGACTTGAACCCAAGACTTGTTCATGCTAGGCATGTACTCTACAACTCAGTCAGTCCATACACAGGCCTCCAAGATTCCTTTAGATCAATTTGACGTTTGAAGGGTTGAATCTCTCCTCATTATCTAGCTGTTTCCAAACTGTTACACTTAGCAGGGACATGTGCCAATATTCTCTCCTTCACATGTGTCCTATTGAAAATAACTATTGCAAGGGACACTGCCCTATGCCGTTTTACTTTTTCCTTGATCATGTCTCTCTGCATCATAATGTAAATGTCTATCTAACTTAACTATCAATTCATCTATTCATTTACTTCAAAGTCTTCAAGATATAAGTTAAATGTAAAAACAAACAAAACAAAAAAGTATAGCTCAGTGACTAAAGAAACAATGACTTTAAATCTCTACACATTTGATATAAAAATATTGAAGAGTATGCTGCTCTTCAGCTATGTTTCTTTTCTTGGAATTCGGATCTAGGGAGAGGGGGAATTACCTATTATTTGCTCAGACAGTGCAGAAATTAATATAAAATTCAGAAATATAGGAATTTTTCTAAATTGAACCATCTATGAATTTAAAATGAGGGAAAATATCACTTGTAGCCCATGTTTTTGTGTCTTTTCAATATCCCCTAACATTACAAAGCAAGCTCATCTTTTTCTCCTGTACCCACTGCCACCCTCATCCAATCTTGAGAACAAACACTAATGCTTAGTGAACTACAGTATAAAGGTTTCAGCCTTTTTCTTATCTCCTGGACTCTCATCAAAGCTGTATGTCCACAGCCATGACCAGGTCAGTTAATCCAGGGAATTTATCCTCAATGTTTGTGGTAATAAACCACAACTTTTTTGTGGTTGTTGTTCTTTGGGTTTGGAGTTCCCTGTGCTATCGCTTCTATAAGGTCTTTTCCATCCCCCAATTTGGTCATTTTTAGACAGCAGTTTATTTCAGCTTGTCCATGTGTGTGCGCATGCACACACACACACACACACACACACACACACACAGAGAATGCTGAGGAGGTGAGCAGCTCACTCACTGGCTTTACAGTCTTATTTAGGAACAAATTAATCACAATCTGAAAAAGAAAATTCTGCTCAAAATGCAATCCACCAATTGAGTTCTCCATAATCCATAATATCATGTATAGGTCCTGGAAAAGAAATGGTTTAAAGTGTATGTGGGATGAATAATGGTTTAATTTTTTATCTTTGGTCTTATTTTATGGAGTTGCAACAATAACAGCATTTCTAACAGTTGCCATTCAACAGTTTTGATTTGAAGTATGTTCTCTTAATGATTGATAGCAGTCTGATAAAATATTACCCATGTAGGCCACTTCCCCTCACCACATACCACACCATTTTTAGGGAGGAAGGTATCTGCCGTCATTAACAACCCATATCTTTAAATGCCAAACATACAAAAAATTAATTAAGGCAAGATGACTTTGAATAGTGCTATAACCTCACAGTTAATATTTAGCTTTTCTCAAGGCAAGGAGGCCTGAACTACACATTCTTGGCGATCATTCCAGCACAGAGCCTGCTTAGTTCTCCTTTGGAGAGTCCAGGGGCCCTTTGCATTCAAGAGAGAGTGCAAGTGAAATGCCAATCTAAAAAGGGAACTTGAAAATGGATTTGGGTGGGATCCAGTATCAGCCAGAAACCGGATGCCATGAAATAAACTGTGTTGTTACAGTAGTAAGTCTGTTGTTTACGATGCCTTTAGTAGCGCACCAATCAATTTCAACCGGACAAGGAGTAAAAGCAGACCCTGCGCATAACCACGAACATAAAATTATATTTCGCTATCTAAGGGGCATAATACATTGTTTCAAGAATTAAAAGGCATGTACAGAGCCGGGTGGTGGTGGCGCACGCCTTTAATCCCAGCACTCGGGAGGCAGAGGCAGGCGGATCTCTGTGAGTTCAAGCTCGGGCTGGACCGATAGCCTCCGAAACAATACAGAGAAACCCTGTCTCAAAAAACCAAAAAAAATAAAAAATAAAAAAATAAAAGGCATGTACAGAATCCAGTTCTTATTTAGGAGCCATCGAGTCCTTTTCGCTCCAGCAATACTGAATCGAGAACATTTTCCTGGTGAGAATAAACTTTTAGAAACTAGTACTACAAAGTGAGAGCAGTGTTACTCAATGCTTCAATTTTCTAGTGCTCATTACTTTTTAAGGGGTCACCCATAGGCAGAGATCTTGGCTGGCAAAAGAAGCTGGGGGGGCGGTCAGCCCCTTGTCCTCTCCACGAATGCTGCTGTGACAGGTACCCGGGAGCACCTAGACAAAGCGGGCTCTATTTAGAAAAGGCCCCACCCTGTAGGACCCACTTCTTTCTCCCCAACCTCACCTGGTCCCTTTCTTTTTTCTGGCCTTCACCTTAGCCAGGAGCCCAGGGACGCTGATTCTGCCTGCTTTCCTGGTCCATCCTGAGGCACAGCCCATCGAAGTCCTGGCCTAGGCTGCTGGAGGGTGTGGGCTGTTTTCCCCTGGGCTTTCAAAAGCCTCTGAAAGAAGCTCACGAGGAGGGTGGAGGTCTGGAGGTACTTTACTTACCGGTTAGTGGCCCAGATCTGTCACCTCCTTGTCCATCCAACCCCCAGGTCCTGCCATGACTTCGAGAAGAATCAGAGCAGGAGACAGAGACCGAGTCCAGCAGGAGCTCTGGGACTGAGTTTCTGAGATAAAGGAGGAAGAAGAGTTTACAGGGGTCCCGGGAAGGGAGGAGGGGATGGGAGAGAGGAAAGGGGACTTGGGTTTGTGGCATGGGAGAGGAGGGGAACGGAGTGGAAAACAGTGAGCTGAAGGGATGGGGAAGAGGAAAGCTCGAGTTTTCGAGAGGCGGGAAAGTAAGTTTGGCTAAGGGCAACAGAAGAGCTTAGGCATCCTTCTGTCGAGAAGCCAGAAGGGTGCTCCGCAGGGAGAGCGCACAGCTGACAGGGCAGGGTGCGCCTTTCAGGGTGAGGAGGGGGGCGGTGCAAGGCAAAGGGGCCTGGAGGAGCTCGAAGGGGATTGGTGGGGCGTCACGTCCTCAGGTGGGCAGCCGCGAGCAGGGAGGCTAGCCAGGGGGCCCCGGGGCTGAGCGAGCCTCTCTAACGATCTTCCGGCCTGGCTCTAGCCGGTCGCACCCCGCCCCCGCGTCCTGGGCTGCGCCTGCCGCCCCCGCCAACGGCCCCGCCAACGCCCCTGCGCCTGCCGCCCCCGCCAACGCCCCCGCCCCCGCCGGTCACTGTTCCACAGGAAACTTTTGCTAGGCAGCTGCCAGCCCGGGAAAACCGGTCCCGCTCAGCGCAGCTCCCAGTCTGGGACCCACAGCTCTGCCACAGTCCAAACAACCTGCACCATCATCTCCCCTCAAAGAAACACTGTAACTTTCCTAGTGGTCTGGGTTCTCTTTCTGGTTGTGTCTAATTTAATCGCTCCGTTGATGGGGGGGGAATCAGGAAAGACAGGAAAAGGATTCCCTGGTCGGATTAGGATTAGGGATCAGACTTGGGTGTGCTCTAGAATGGAGGAATGGAGTCTCTAGGTCAGCTACAACTTGAATCTTCAGAGTTACTCACAGCTCAGGACAGAGCAGAAAGTTCCTTAGATCTCCCTGGAGGCATCTGCTTCTCCTGTAGCCCAGGGACCTAACTGGTGTCTGGCAGGGGCTGCTCAGTCAAAAACACACCTGAGAACAGGTGTTTGGGTTAGGAAACACAGACCCAGTGTCAGCAGCCCTGCCTGTCCTGTGTCCTAAATTTGCAGGCTTTGAGCTTGCAGTGAGTCCAGAAAGTTTCTGCTTGTTTTCCAGCCTCCAGCGCCCCAGCCGGGTTTCATTCATTCACTCATTCATTGCAAAACTTTTAAGGGCTCCGGAGCTGTGTGCCTCTGTTTCCCTGCATAGCGCAAGGAGGCTGACACTTGGTTCCTACAGTGGAAACGTGAGTTAGCTTTAAGTAAGTTGCCTCTTGAAGCATTTACAGAAAAGGGAACCAGTGCATAAAACCAACCACATTCTAAACTCTTACACACTACAAAGAACACTTTAGAAAAATGTCCTGAAACTGCTTACATTCCCCCAGCTAGCTTACTGTGCTTTGAGTACCCGAATGCCAAGTCACAGTGCTATTAGGAATTTGTTTCCTGTTTCTTTTTTTTTTTCTTTTTTTTAATGAACAAATTTTGTTAACTATCCTAAGGAGATTTATACGAATAATTCCTCCCACTGTTCTCGAGTTTATCATTTCTGACCCAGCTTCCAAAATTTTGTAATTATTCCTCTTTATGCTAGTAGATTTTGTCTATTTTCTGTCTGTTTCAACGCTAGAGTTTGACTTCTTTAGGATCTCAGAGACTCAGTGAGCTCTGTAATGGCTACAGCTTGTCCGAGGAACCCTCTGGCTACTTAAAGATTCTCTGTTAATGGCAGCAGAATAAACCAACCAGCACCTCCTTCAAAATAACAAGCCGGGTGTACTAAATTGAATCTTCTTAAAACAAATTTTATATACATATGTATGTGTATATATTTATCATCGCAGAAATTACATTTCAAAGAACTCAATTCTTGACAACTCCACCACACGAAATCCTATTCCTTTAAAAACTATTTAAGATTTCCTGAATGTCCAGTCAAATGTTTCTGGATTTTCCTAAGTGGAAGTTGGAAAATGAACATTCCATAACTTTAAAAGGGAAGATTTGCATTTCATAGAAAATCACAATTTTGTATATATATGTATCTTGTTGTAAGAAATCAAGCCAAGGAAATCAAGAAATACAATTACAGGGACTCTAAAGATAATCCTAAAATGATCTTACCTTTTCTGTGTTTAAGGGAAGACATATTCACAAGTTGACATTTTTACCTCCAATGTTTGCTGAATGTGGGGGTTGGGGAAATGCCTCCGAGGTCAACTGTTTCAGCCTAGGAAAGCAAATCCTGACCAGGCAAGAGAATCCAGATTAGATTTTTGTGTTTTCCAGTCGCATACTGGGAAACTGCAGGAGCTTCTTGACTCTACAGGTCTGGTTAAAGTGTCTGGATGGCCTCCTGTGGGTGGGGGGGGCAAGCAGAACCTAGATGTTTAACCAGAACTCCACAGAGAAGCCTTTATTATTTATTTACTTGCTTACTTATTTTGGTTATGATTTTCAAGGAAAAAGGAGGAATGTGGACACTTTGCTTTTTAAGATGACATTATGGGGAGTTTTTGAGACTTATTTGGAGAAGGTCAACCTGCCTACTGCACCAGCAGATACGATGGCACCCAAAGGCTCAGCTCAGAGGACAGTCTTCAAACACAGCACCTGTTTTCCATCTCCAGGCATTCTCTTCTCCTCACCCCACAGGCCAGTTTCCTTAACCCTGTCCCACATGCTTCTCCACCCTCCCTGTCCTCGCGTTTCTCCCTCTTGACCTCAGCAGCCACCAAAGTCATCCTACTTTGTCCAAGGTCCAGGAATTTGTCAGACTGGTTTTTTACCCAGAAATGATCTCTCAGCCCACATTCGAGGTCCCATGTTTTTCCACACTCTCTTCCTCCAACCCATTGTGTTTTCTTAAGACCCTGGGCCCTTTTAAACTCTTGGTTGTTGATATATTTTATATCTAAATTTTATTGACATGCTTACCATATGTGCCACACTAATAGCTTTGCATGTAATATTTCCTTAATTTTGAAAGATTTTTAGTTTATTCATTATAGTCTTCATTGTTTAATTAGGCAAATCGAGGCAGAGAGGTAAGAAGTGACTTTCTTAAAACCTCACAGGTAGTAAATATTTAGATGATCCTGGCTTCCAACCCAGGCACTCTGACTCCAGAGACCACTTGTCATTTGCTGTGGAAGGGCTGGTGCATATTTTGAGACTGTATGAAGAGCAGCCAGATTCAAAAAAGCCCAAGGGAGAGTGAGATCAGATAACACTAGCTAGACCCCTGAGCTATGCACTTCCCCCTCCCCCTTTTAGTACTCAAGCCCTCCTCCAAGTATCATGAGCTTTATAAAAAGAAATAGGACCTAGTCATTGCCTAAGCAAAGCCTATGACTCTCTGGGCAAAGAGCTCCAGGAGGAGTATCTAATAGGGAAATTTCACGGATTTGAAGCTGAAGATCTGTCCAGAAAATTCACAAGCACCCTTTAGTGCCCTAAAAATCCCCCATTAGAAGACATGCAGTGGCTCCTTAGTGGAAATTCCACCATGGATGGAGGAATTATGAGGCCCCACCCATAAGAAAAAAGCTATTAGCAGTTGTTGGCTGCTGGAGGAAGGTGAGCAAGTTTCCTTTCTCAATATGGCCCCTGTTGCTGCCATTTCTCATGGTGGCTACCAATATCTCCTTGTTAGGGAGATATTCTTCTTGGTCACACTTTGAAGAAGTTTTAACTAAGTCACACATCCAACTATTGGAACTACATTCTGCACAGTGCGGCTAATCCTAGAACACTGGTTCCATCCCATTAAAAAAATCTTCTGTACCCATTTAAGACATCCAAAGTGTTAAAGGCATATTTATTTTCTGTTCTCTAGTAGTGGGGAGTTGCAAAGTAAGCTTGAGAAACTATTATTTTAGGCTGCTGAATTAATATTCAGTACCTCAACCACTTATTTATTCATGAAACCAATATTCATCAACAATCTACCACAAGCCAGAGCACTTATCAAGCAAAAGGTCTTGTCTCTCTCCAAAAGAGGCAGTTATTTATAAAATGCAACGTCAAGTTATTGCCTATCATTCCCAAGCCCTTTAAATATCAATGGCCATTGCTCATGTGTAATGCATAAAATGAATAAATATTTGGATTAGGGGAGGGACACCCCAGGAGGTGGGAGCTGCTGTGGCTGACTTATAAACTATTTGAATCTGGCAATAAGGGTACGCAATTGGTGACCCCTAGTCCAAGGATCTTTGGGCACCCTGATGATCTAGATAATTAATGTTTCAAAAACATTTAGTAACAATTTGCCCAGTTCCATGCCAGTTTTTTGACCTGGGAGTGCTCTCTGCTTGCAGCCTCACATTTCAAAAGATCCTCTACCTTCCAGAAGGGCAATGTTTATAATCCGAGGTGGACCCAGTCTTAGGAGAAGCAGGTAACAAATGTTAAACATGTGGAAACTGGCAAAACTGAATTGAATGGGTGCTTTGAAAGAGAATTGTGGCTGAAATCCAGCTAAAGGGCTTTCCACTGTAGTCCTTGTCTACAGAGGGAGGGACATGTCCCTGAGCAGGAGCCTCTAGCCAATGGCCTTGGCCTTTGAGTCAATCTTAGTTTCCATTTGGGTATTGAACACATGCATGAGTGCACGCACACACACACACACACACACACACACACACACACACACACACACACACACGGGGTGGGGGGTAATGACGTCAAAGTAAATTTCTCCACACTGGAAACACTTGTAAATGTCATGAGGATCATTAGGTATGTCATGATCAGAAGATCAGGCTTCCAATCTCTGCCACACTGAAACACTGACCCTTTGTTCTTAGCATCCATGCCATCCTCGAGGTTAATTTCTTTAAGTCTCTTACAGCCTCTAGGGATCACAGCTCACTGAACAATTAAGGTTCATTATGTGGGGCCTGCAATGCCCTGCTTTATAAAGAGGTTTGCTTTCATTAAGGTGAGAGGATTGCAACCAGACAACCATTCAGGTTTTATCCTTGTCCTCACTTCTTGTTTACAAACTCATTAATGCTTCAGCTTTAGGGCAATCAAGGATTGAGGATAGCTTCCCAGATGAACTCTAGATACCCCGAGTAACACTGAATGGGCTACTTAACTAATATGCTCCAAATCACCTTCCTGGGAACTCTCATCCTGAAGCACACACATGTGCTTGGCTTTATAATTCAAACTGCAGGGTATCACAGAGAAGCCATCACTGACCACTTGCTAAAGGACCCAGTGAAAGCAGGACTAAAATCAAGTACTTGAACTTATTTGTGTCTGAATAAGGATAAACATTCTGCAAGTTGTCTCATTTTGAAAATTGTAGAGTATTAGATGTTCTTTTTGAAGGGTTTTCACATGTTCCCTTTAATGAATACTACAATAAATAATGCAATTCAGTATGACAGGTATCAATTTCTCTTTTTACAAGGGTGG